ATTTCTGCTTACGTGTAGTAGCCAACACCTTGTCTCCTTTTTGTTAAACTTTTTAGAAAGTGATAGCCCCCTACTTTATTGTTTCAGTCTGAGTTTCATCAGAATTCAAGCTCATGCTCTGTATACCATCAGGATTCACAAGTAATCCTGATGGCAATCCTGATGGTAAACCTGATGGTAATTGTGGATCTCAAGGCCGTTGCCCTCTTAAAAAGGGCGACAGCCTTGAGATATCATCATCAAACTGACCGGCCCAAAGTAATTCGGAATTGGAGTGTTTCACTCATTTGCTTCCCCATCAGTATTGGAGCTCATGCTCTGTATAATAACAGTTAAATGTGGGTATCATTCAGCCTCATGGGGTTTAAGGCTTGTTGTAAGCGAATAGTACGAAATACTACGAATACCTGACAGGTGCAAGACGTCGCCGATAAATTCTGTAGAGAAAATCCACAGCATCCCCGCAATCTGCAAACTCTCTCTTGAAGCTTTTGTCCATAGCTTTGTCTTCAGCAGCAGCCTTGTTGTACACGTCGGCAACCTCTTCCAACTGCTCACAACACAAACAGGGTATGGTAAATGAGATCTGAGCAAAAGGTGGTTAAGCCAGGGGTGAGGGGGGAGAGCAGGTTAACGGAGGCCAAAATTTTCAGACAATTTGTCACGGCACTTATAACAAAAAACAGCGATCATTTTTACCAAACATGCGATCGGGGAAAAAAAAAAAAAAAAAAAAAAAAAAGTTCCCCAAACCCTAATTTCAGTTTTGAACCCGTTAACCAAGGAGGTGAAAGGAGGGGTTGCCCGTTACCCAGTTGTGATGGTGCCTGCATCAAGCACACAGCTCAAAATGTCGACTTCCCCCCAGTGTTTCCTTCTAGTCTTCGGGCCTGGCCTAGGTTTTCGGAGGAATGAGATGCTGGTCCTGCTGTCCAGCCATTGGAAGGAACAGGGGCCGCCAGTTTTCTGAGTACGATCCGGCATCGGTCAGGCCGTAGGAAGGATGAAGAGGCGGACTCGGTCAGACCATGGCGGTCCTGCTGGACCAGCGTCTCACTCCTCCTAAGCCCTGGACAGCAAGACCAGCGTCTCGTTCCTCCTAAAACCTAGGCCACGGAGATAGACTCGGTCAGACCACGACGGTCAGACCACGGCAGGGGACGCTGGACCCGGATTCTGGTGGCTTCTTCTCAGCCAATGAAAAATAGCATGTTCATTTTTGTCCCATACATTTCTTTTGCATTTCCTGCAGGGCTGGGCCGGCAACCGGCCGGTCGAGCTGGCCCGGTCCAACCGGGGCCAGACCGGGCCAGGGGGGGTCAACCGGCAAACCGGATGGCCCAAAAAAATGCCCACTTTTTTTATTTTATTTTTCCCTTTGCGGGATCCGACTGCGCTTGCCGAGATCTGTCGGATTCTGCAATGAAACTTTGAATGTTGGATTTTTTTTGG